TTCTCCCAGGACCCTCCAGGTTGGTGGCACCTCCACGCGGGTTCTTCCCTGAGTGGGACTCACCGGTTTTGTTCCCTTTTCCTGTTGAACTCCAAGTGCCAGGAGGGGTTGGGGTGACCTTTGGTGGTGGTGTCCCCTTCTTGTCTTGCTCTCCAGGGGACTCGAACCCATAATAGTTGGAGGTGATGATTTGGAATGGGTCATCATCTTCTTCCAAGACAAGAGCTGGGAACCGGGAGCGTTAATTCCCATCGATGCCTCCCCAGGCCAGAGCAGCCCCCGAGGACCAGGGATGGAGCTGCTGGTCACCATGACCCAGGGAAAAGCAAGAAATGGCCTTATCCCAGGTCCCTTCAGCTTCAGGTGACCTGAGATGGAGGAGTGGACATCACTGGGCCAGGCTGGTGGGTGCCAGGGGAGCAGTGGGAGCTGCTGCCCCACGTCCTGCCAGGTTCAGAGAATCGTGGGATGGGTTGGGTTGGAGGGACCTGAAAGATCATCCAGATCCAACCCCCACCATGGGCAGGGACACCTCCCAGCAGCCCAGGCTGCTCCAAGCCCCATCCAACCTGCCCTTCAACACCCCCAGGGATGGGGCAGCCACAGCTTCCCTGGGCAACCTGGCCCAGGCTCTCCCCACCCTCACACTCCACAATTCCCTCCTCAGCTCCAACCTCCAGCTCCCTCTCCCACTTTTCATCCCTCCCCCTCATCCCATCCCTCCCTGCCCTTGGCCCAAGTCCCTCCCCAGCTTTCCTGGAGCCCCTTCAGGCCCTGGAAGCTGCTCTAAGGTCTCCCTGGAGCCTTCTCCTCTCCAGGCTCAACACCCCAACTCTCCCAGCCTGGCTCCAGAGCTGCTCCAGCCCTCCCAGCATCTCCGGGGCCTCCTCTGGACTCTCTCCACCAGCTCCATGTCCTCCCTGTGTTGGGGACCCCAGAGCTGTTCCCAGCCCTGCAAGGGGGGGATCTCAGAGAGGGACAATCCTGCTGGTCCCACTGTTGGGGTGTCCTCTCCCTGGGTTCTCCCACATGGTCCCACAGAGACAAACAGGACAAAGGTGACAACGATGGGGACACTGGGGGGGCTGGTGGGGACCCCCAGCCCGTTGGGCCACCAGCTGCCACCAGCCCCATGGTGACACCACCACCAAGGTTGGGCAACCACGGGGGCCCTACGGTGGGAAATGGGGGGGTCCCCGGGAACCCCAGCCCCCTGCTGTGGGGAAAGGGGGTCCCCAAGCACCCTGAGACCCCTGCACTGGGGAAAGGGGGTCCCCAAGCACCCCCAGGCCCCTGCTGTGGGGAGAGGGGCTGCCCAAGCACCCCCAGCCCCCTGTTGTGGGGAAAGGGGGTCCCCAAGCACCCTGAGACCCCTGCTGTGGGGAAAGGGGGTCCCCAAGCACCCCCAGCTCCCTGTTGTGGGGAGAGGGGGGTCCCCAAGAACCTCAGCTCCCTGTGGTGGGGAAAGGGGATCCCCAAGAATCCCAGGCCTCTGGAGTGGAGAAAGGGGGTCCCCAACAACCTCAGCCCCCTGTTATGGGGAAAGGGGGTCCCCAAGCACCCTGAGACCCCTGCAGTGGGGAAAGGGGGTTCCATGAGCCACCCAGCCCCCTGAGGTAGGAAAGGGGGTCTCTGAGCAGCCCAGCCCCCTGTGGTGGGGAAAGGGGGTCCCCCAACAACCTCAGCCCACCTGTGGTGGGGAAACGGGGTCCCCGAGCACCCCAGCCCCCTGAGGCAGGATTGGGGGAGCCCAAGGGGTGGGTTTTGGGGTGCAGGAGGGTCAGGGAGCACCCCAGGGAAGGGCTGGGCAGGGCTGGGGAGCTCAGGATGTGGGTTTTGGGGTTCAGCTCCGTGCTGGGGAGCCCAGGGAACCCCACCTCCCCCTCCCCCCAAAGAGGCAGAGCCAGGA